CTTTGTGATGAAAATGTGAGATGGAGAGAGAGGTTTACGACTCAAAAGAGTCCCACTTGGGCTTCAAGAAAACACTAAAGTGAGTGTGAAGATGTGGAGAAAACTGAAAAGCAAAAGGAGGAGGGAAATTGAGAGCCTTCCCCTTTCAAAAGCTAAAAAAAGAAAAAAATTAAACTCAAAAAATAAAAATAAAAATACTTCTCTGACCCAAAAGGAATCTCTTCAAATATTTATCTTTGATTTTTGTAATGTGGATCGTCTTTCTTTTTCCTGAATCACGTAAGGATGAAGCTTCGTGTAAAAGCAGCTTCTCCACCGTCACCTTTACTAATCTTTATTGCCATTAAAGCTCTTTGGGAAGAAAAAGAAAACTCCTTCTTTTGTATAATTTTTTTTAAATTTAGTGGGTAAAAGAAGTTTCTATTTTGCAGAGTGTGCAGATTACAATATTGAAATTTGCAGAGTGTGAAGAGAAGAGAGGTCAAATTTTTTTTCTTTCTTCATACCTAGTTTTTGCAGGAGTTCCTGAGAGTGATGGGAGTGATCAGTAACCTTCAGTCCTTTTGTTTGAGTGTACTAGTCAAACTGCATAGACAGTATCGAAGTCTCCTTCGATTTGTCTGAGTGAACTTTCGGTTCAGGGCTTTTGCATATATGACACTTGGACAGTCAAGTTCTGAGCTTTCCGTAGAGGGACAAGAAATTTTTAGTTGCGACGAAAACACAGCACCACGTGTTTTTATACAAGTGGTGAAAAATTTTAATTTTTAAGTTATTAACATTTTAACACACATAACCCATAACCCATCATTTATATAGGGACACGTAGAGTACCACCTCGTATAACGGTTACACTGAAAAATCTCCCCTAGAGGGACTGTGCCACCATTTTTCTCACATATAAACTCCAAGGAAAGGATTCGGAGGATCATTTTTCTGGGAATTCCACGATCATGACAGTTCATTGTACATCGTGCTGTCAGAAATAATTTAAAATTTAAAATTAAATATAAATAGTACCTAACGAAAACTAACCGCATGATATACTGATCACAAGATCCCCTGAATCCTCAGGAAAAGGATCCGCCGAGGATCCTTTTCCTAAACTCCAAAGAAAATTTTACTTTTCTCAAAATCTGGTTTCCTAGCGTGGAAAAGAACTACATGCAACTCAAACGCTAAACTGATATTATTCTAAATTAATTACGAGATGTTAGAAAGCTAAAACACATGAAGATGCGTAATAGTTATGAGACAGTCCGAATATTAGTTTGATGACCTTCCCCAATGTTAAAAATACATATTTGTAAATAAAACTAGTTTTGTGAGTGAGTCTCTCCAAACTAAGTTTCACATTGGATCCAAGTTCCAACTAAACTTAGGTTCATACGTGAAGAACATTTAAGACTTTACATTTGAGAGAGTTTAAAGATTTAAAGGGGGAAATTTTAGCTCTTCTGATTCTATATTTTAATTTATTTATTTCCATCACGTGATGACAAATGAATAAATTACGTAACAAAATAAATTGAACACATTATACAACTAGTTGTAAGATATATTCTCTCCCCGCAGTCCTCAAGAAATGTGAAGCTTTGGGACCAAGGGGATGCTGGTAGTTTCGGTTGAAGAATGACCAAGATTGAAGAACAAGATGCCAAAGAAAATGGTCCAATTAGTGACCCAAATATTCGTAGTTAGTCCTTAACTTCTGTTCCTGGAATTTGTATGGGAACATATCCAAAATTCCAAACAACCAAACGTTCCACGTATGTAAATCAAATTAAATTAAGTTAAATTATTGGTTCATGTGAAGCTTCCAATGTTTTCGGTGGATAAAAGATTGAAATTGTCTTTTACTAAGTTCGAGTCTGGTTGGTGTCAATTCAGAGATGATTCTGACTTTCCTTCCAAGTAATTAAATGAAGTAAAAAAAAAATATATATATATATATATCAATTTTTTGTATTCCCAAGCCACCATAAAAGGATCCAGGACGAACTTAAAGATAAAAAAAAATTCAAATATTGAGTGAAAGAGGCATCGGAGTTCTTAGTTTGTATAGATAGGCCACCAAAATAAATTAATAAAAATCGTCGAATTCAATTTGAGTAGTCCAAATTATCTGATTCTTAAAACCCTACAATGAATCCGGAGAAGTTCTTTGTCCCCACAAAAGGCCCCATCTTTACCTTCTTTTCCGTAACCCCAAAACATTATATAAATAGATTAAGTAATCAACTTTATAAAAGAAGAAAAAGAGAAAAGAGAAATAGCTGTAACAAACTAGAAAAGCTTACTCGTCAGCCATATAAAATGAGAGGGATGGCATCCCTCCCCTTACTTAACTAAGAATCGAAGAAGAATGATTGCTATGATTTGCTTAGTTAAGTTCACATCATAATTCCATAATCATCTCCTTAGGAGAGATTCTTAAGTCCAATCCGCCATTTAGGGCACCGAACACAATTGAGTGGGACCGAAAGATGAAGGTGTGGTCCAAAATAGATGGAAATTTTGTGGTCTGTGTACACGGTAAGACAATAACATTGTTCAGATGAACGCACTAAAAACTTATACTCTTCTTATTAAGAACTAGAATTTTAAACACAACTATATTTATCATTTTGTGCCTATTTCTTTTCTCGTATACACTTGATTGCACTTAAATTTTTTTGGCTCGTTGGGAGATAGTTCAACAAATGAAACCTCCTTTGTCTTTAAAAGCTGTAGCCTGCTGGGCATAAGCATAATTGTCATAATTTCCAATGTTTCGTTAAAGCCCTAAAGGAAACTTCAAAGTTGTCTTTCGGCAACACGAAATTCTGAAAACGGTCACTTGTGCTTTGACCTTTCAGACTGGATGGCCACCGTCTATGCAGATTTGGAATTTAGATAGTAAATCAATCTTAGTACGTAGATGTAAACCCATCAATTCCATCCAACCACCTATCAGTATCCATTATTATTTCTAGTGTCAACTGCCAACTTCACACAGATGAATTTATACTCAAACCTCGTATCTTCAAAATCACACGCAACGTTGTAAAAATCTAGTATTCACAAGCTTAGGCAGGGATATCAAGAAAACGCCTTTGCTCAACAGTAGTGGACTATATACTCGTCTAGGCGTTTACACAGTGCGCAGAGGCATAGTCGAGACGCCACTTAGGCGTTTGGATTTTTTTTGTTTTTAAAAACTTCTCAAATCCAAAACATGTCGTTTTGGGCAGGGTTTTTATAAAACTCAAAACTCGTCTCTCTCTCACGCCTCGAGGCTATTGTCTAAACGAGGCTATCTATGAAACGCCTTGGTTTCGACTTCACTTTTTAAAACATTGATCATACAACAATGTTTTGGTTCTACTAAATTGTACTACAGTTTGGACGGATAATCAATGATTCAAAACTACCATTAGGGGGTTATTTACTTACTAGCCAATTAAATGAGCTAGAATAAAATCAGCTTATATTTAGCCTTTTTATTTTTGAGAAATGAGTTTCACTCCTGTTTCCTCCACTACACATTTGTCAAATGTTTACAAAAGTGTGTAGAAAGTGAAAAGAGGTACATGAAAACCGTAAACCATTTTTATTTTTATCTTGTGGCGAAGAATGCTTTTTGCTTTAGAGAACAATGGTTAAAAGAGTTTTATGACGAGTCAATTTCCCGACTAAATTCGAACTTCCCTACTAACCCCCGCCCCTTCAAGTTCACGATCATCCACACGTTGTCGCGTCACATGTGGAATAGCAATGGGCATGCATTTTCTTTTCAAAAAAATACTTGCCTCTTACAGATATTCGTCCGTGTCGACAAATTACACTTGTTATTTCCTTCCCTTGTGTGGGAAAATGCCACTATGAATATCTCATCACCATATTAGTTTATTCAGGCCATATAAAAGCCCAAAACATGAATGGAGTGGCCACAATTCCAAGCCCAAAATACGAAAGGAGTATTTTACTTGGTTAATTTGTTCTTTCCACGATGTTGTGTTTAGGGGTTTCTTTTACATATAATACTTAATACAAATTCAAAGAGACAATTCCCAAATATATGGAGTAAGATTCTCTTCCCTCTTATTTGAACAGCCACGATAACATCTTGTGTTGACTTCTTTACAGAGAGAGAGACAGAGTGGAAAGTGTGAGAGGAGGAGGGAAGAGGAGCGGAATTGGGGGGAGAAAAACCTACTCCCAAATATATTGATGCATTATTGGTCTGCTTGGATTCTTCTTCGAATCGACATATCTATAAGATCCACCCTCAAAAGTAGCAACACTAGTTTACTTGAGAGTTTAGACTCAACTGAACAAACAAATCCCACAGCCAGTTTGACATCCAGATATAAACCTTTTACATTTTCCAACTTTGGTACACTCCTCACCACCTCCTCGCCACCTCAACCAATCTCTACATGATTTTCCAGTATATTTCGGTGTATTCTATACTCTGGGGGTTTCAACTGTTATATCCTTGGTCAAAGATACAACAACCAAAATCTAACGTTTAAAATCTCCTAGGTATAGAATGTAACTAACAAAGATGCTGTTTGACTAACACCTGGGAAGAATATAAATAACAAACAGATCCACTAAACCAAAATGCAAATTTTCCATCAATCTAAAACAAAGATAAATTGACATCTCTTTCTCCTATTAAACATTATGTACAAGGTGCCTTCGGGAATAGACTATATTGACTTCTTTGTTTCTTTCCTTTCAAAGTCACGTTTGTTTTGGATTTGTTTTCTTCCAATTTTTCTAGTTAAATGTATACCGCATTGTGCTACTCTTGAAGCTATGTGTGGAAAAGCCATAAGGTTAAAAGGTATTCTGGTATACACTGCAGCACACGATTATCTTTATTTCAACAGAACGTAAAACCTAAACAAATTCAAACTCATTCTAGTTTTCTAAGTCCCATCAGATCACTTGTTCATAACATAACAATCGTGCGATATGCACAATTATATAACATGTTCCCAAATATTCAATAGGTATAACTGTAACGATGTTGGTATAGAACTCAATGTGAGCACAACAAACTGTCTCAAGCTCAAAAGAACAGCACTAGCAAACACAATAGATGAGCATATTGTTCGATAACCAAAGAATAGCAACAGATCTAGATATGCAACAATTTAGATTGATCCTTTGATTCATGCATTCAACTGTCTCAAGTGAACAAATAACAAGTTCCCTGATGAAGGCCGAGTATACGAACATACCCATCATCACTTATCGCTCGAGGGAAAATTCTTTTCCTATCAGGCAATCAGGTGCAAACGTTAAAACCATCATTGACCACCGCCACGAGTTTGTAACCTCCTCCTCTCCAGCTCAAGCTAAAACAAAAATCAAATATATTAGTGGATGACCATAGCATGCTCGGTCTATGTTTCCCTTATGAAAAATCAATCTAAAATATAGTGGCATTCTGCAAGTATCTTACCACTTTCTTCACCCGCTCATTGGCAGCAGGAGTTCCTCCACTGACAGACTCAGGAGTATATGGACTGCTTACTCGGACCTCATTCATCACAACTATGACAGTCTTGTCCCAGCGCACTGGAAGCCTGATCATCGTCATGATCAATGGCACTCAGTCCACAAAAAGTAAATTTTCCAAACTTGTAAATTATAAACTTCCTACCAAACCAAGGACTGATCTAAATCGTAACTAAAGTCTAAAATTTACATTTTGCATCCCTGCTCATGCAAGAATCATAATCATTCAAAAGTTCTCCAAACAATGAATATGCCACAAAAATGACGGCCTATCCATGCTGACCCAAAACCTCGTAATTTCCTAATCTTCAGCTACTCAAAAGTCCAATTCTTACTAGAAAATCCGATACAATCAGTTTCATGCAACAACATTTACACTTTAGAGTAAAATGGGTTGTTTTTTATGATACCATGGTGCAGAAACCGGTATCCTCACAGTTTTAGTTGCAACAAATCAGCAAGAACTCAGTAAAAACAACTCACGTCTTAGACAAGGCATCGAAAATGTTCTGCGCCTGGGCGGTGACCCCGACGCCAATCCGCTCCGACTCCGCCTCTGCTTGCCTGCAATCAAACACAAAAATACCCAAGACTTCATCAATCATCACTCAACAAAATTCCCAATTGGGGCATCAAATCAATTACCTAATCGCCAGTTCCTCCCTGGCCCGGAGACTATTGAGATCAAGATAACACTTTTTGATATCGAGCGGGTCTTCCGCCTGGCCCAAGTATGACAGCTCCTTTATATAGTTCGCCTTCAGCAGCCGTATGTTCCGCCGCGCTCCGCCTTTCGAACCCTCTTGTGATCCCATAAGTTAAAAAAAATTGCAAGAAAGATCGCATTTTTTTCTAGGGTTTTAGGAAAAATTGAAATGAAATTGATTGAATTGATTAAATTGCGATCGGTGAAAGGATATGAATGACGACGATGTTGGAGGGGCGATCAAAGGTGATGACTTGGCCTTGGAACTCGTCGCTGAGCGTGGTCTTGATGGAGACGAAGCGCCCGATGGCCAACTCCCCCGTGTTGCTGCCATCCATGGCCATGCCTAATTTTTCCCCAAATCGGAGTTCTGATTTGAGATACAAGAGCCCTAGTAATTTTCGCTCTCCTAGTATTTTAGTGGACTCCTTAGCTAAGGTGGGCTTAGTTGCAATCGGCCCAAATATTTGTAATCATGCAAGCCCTAACCACTAGCCTTACTCTCATTAGGGTCAACATTATATTTTGGGTCAAATATTTGTTTTCTTTATTTTATTTAGGGTCAACATTATATTTTGGCAAGACGACATTCTACACTACTATGGTCATGAGAAAGAAATGTGGGAGAGGATGAAACTTTGCCCTAACCACTAGCCTTACTCTCATCGACTTCCTCGTGTTTCTTATTGGTTAAACTATACTTGTGGGAAACAATGGTTTTTTATTTATTTCCCTTTTGGGTGATGAATGGACAAAGATTTTGGGTCGATTACATTCTACTTCAACTTTAACTAGGACAAGCATATTAACAATTATGTAATCAAATTATCGATACTATCAAGAATATAGATGGCATGTTGATAACCATATATATATTAATATTGGATGATCGGACATGTCATATTGATTAAAATGACCTAACCCAAAATATGTCAATATCAAAATTATTAGAATTGGATTGTCATCTCTAGTACTTCAAGTCCTACTTAGTTTATCAAGAAACCAGTTAGAAACGATATTTGCCTTCGATGGTTCTTTGAATCAAATCCAAAACAAGAGAAGGGGTTATATCTCTTTTGAAGAGAGACGTTGTGGTAGCGATTTATGTAAAAAAGTTGAAGTTCAACATTAAATGTAATTAATAAATATACAGACTACTTAAGTTTTTATAAACACATGTTAAGTTCATCGTTTTTCAAATATCGGATTTACACTCTTAATGGTTGGTTTGCATTTCTCATATAAAAATACTTGCCCCACATCCCCATCACTTTGACATCTTGCCATAATCGTGGGTCATCTGAGCTGGCCATCACTCCACGATCCAACCGGGCATGGCGTTGTTTTGATATAAATAATATTTCAATCCATTGCTCATGAACCAGCTAATTGGTAGTTTTTCATTTAATTTTTTGCATGTACCTTAAAAAATCAACTCGAATTATTGCTGTACTTTTTTGCAGCTTCCGTGGTTCTGATTTCTGCCGTTACAATGTTTTTCATTTATTTATCCGTACCATGGTTTGGTTTGGGCCCTTTTCCCTTTGGGGTAGGTATTGCCACAACGTGCATCGTTCGCTGTATGCTGGTCAGTTAGATTGAATAAATTAAAAAGATCGAAAAACAAAGATGAATATAAAACGTGCGTGAGGTAAAAAGAGATGTGCGAATACTAAATAGTATCACTGTAGTTGACTAGCTGGCCCATCATATCACACATGCTTAGGTAGATTGATCCAGCAAGTGCTCCAGATCAAGATGCTGAAAAATTGTGAGTTGAAGGGAAGAGGAAACTTCCCTCCCGATCCAACTCCCAAGCGAGTGAGGAAGTAAAATTGGGTGGCTGTGATAAGTTTTCTAAAAGCATTTTTTATATGTCAACGCATGATTTCGATGCTAAAACGTGTTCTTAATTAATACTTATACGAGGATTGCATCTCACTCATGTATAAAATGTTCTCGAAATTTCTCGATCATAATTTGAATTTGGAATGTGCTATGTACACATCATATTTTATTTTTTACACATTATCTTATTAATTTATATCCATTGATTTTATTCAATTCATCCAATCCGACAATCGAAAATTAAAAAGATGTGTAAAAAGTAAAATGGTCACATCCCTTTAAACTTAGAGCTTACTATTTTAATAGTATGTAGATTATCATTGAACCAAATCTTCATCGACTTAATTCTGATACATTTTAGAATATTTTATACGTGTGCCTTTCTTATTTTTGTCGTTAACATATGTTAAACTACTCCACCGACTCCAGTGGCTTAATCATGTGAAAAATATATGCATATATGTCGTAACGATAACGATGGTGGTGGTGATGGTGATGATGATAGTGGTTAGGGGTAAAGTTTTTTAATTTGTACATGATGATGCTATACATATATCACTTTTTACATTTTACACTTTCTCTTAATTTTTGGTCGTCATATTAAAATAGTTGAAGAGGATCAAAAGATATAAATCAGCATATAATGTGTGAGAAATAAAAATAAATGTGCGGATAACACTCCTCCTTGTATATATGGTCTAGGTGAGAGTAACCTAACTAATGATACAATATGTGGTGCAGGTGCAGCATCCCGCTCTTTTAGGCTTTTTAGATGTTTCACAATTCACATGATTATTATTTGATTTTATAGATGCAATTTGCATTTGTATTACATAGGTACTAAGGGGGTCTTGTATTAGGAGGATGGTTCTCTCCCTTCCTAATCTCTTTTCCCTTCTTTCTCTTCATGCTTGAATGATTACGGTTAAATCACGTTAATATTTTATACAGACAATAAGATAAAAAGTAAAATGTAAAAGGAGGGAAGGGAATGAGATGAGAATAGGAGGGAAGAGAACCCAACTTCCTTGTATTATTGGTATTGTGGAGTGGACACCATCTTGTAACTAGAAGCCTAGACATCTACATCAACACGTATCACTTCATTATATCTTTTAGGGTTATGATCCAACGGATGAAAATACAACTTGCGTGAGATTGTCCTGTACGGTATCAACATTAAGTCATTAACATGTACCAAAAGGGTTTCAAATTAAGGAGTCTTGTCTCTCTTATGAGCGTGTTGTTGCATAGAGCAATTTCATCCACAACTCTCCCTCCTCAAAAGCAAGATTTTGCCTCGCTGCAGTTGAAGGTAAATACCTAATTCGTTGCCTGTATGAGATGTCATTGTAGTGTTGATATAGATGTTGACATGTTTGGACAACATGTTGATATGGTTTTGGTATATCTCCACATCTTGCCAGACTGCTAGTTATTAGATGATTATTAATATGTTGTCGAGTATTTCGCTTCAGCTATGAACAGAGCGGAATCTCCTTAAGAAGAATGTGTCCATGCAAAAGTAGTCTTAGATAATGGATTTCACAACAAAATAAAAGTTTTCATCATCCAATATGAGTAACATTTTGTTGGACTTTACTTTGATTTCGAAGCATACATGGAGCAGGTGACAAATGTCAGACTTGTAAGTTGTAACCCTGGTTTCTTGTTGTAAAGGTAATTCCATTTAGGGCTCAAAGCCATCGATAATTGCAATGACTGGAGAAAAAACGTACTTTAGGGCTCAAAGACGATCTTATCCTCACCAAACCTATGGTTACAAAGGAATATGTGACATGTCCCTCTAAAAGAAGGGCAGTTTTGACGTTTTACTGTCCCAAATTACAGATTATAGTAACCTTACCGACAGTGTACGTACACATCCTAGACAAAAACAAAGAGACCAAATAATTATAGGAAGTGGTATTAACATTTCAAAAATCTTATTTTCCACTCCTTACAAATGTATTTTTCTTTCTAAATATAGAAAGTTTGGAGTGTGGAATATGAATTTTGGACTGCCAATAACAATTCCTTAATTATATTATTTGTTTGAAGAAAGCTAAAAAACCAACCCAAAAAAGATGTTTTAAAAGATAAACGTCTTCCCACTTAGTATTGCAATCTAGTAGTATTCTTCTTTATTTATAAGTGAGAGGTTTATATTTGATTTTCGTTAAAGAAAATTTAAATCAGATTATTGCTAACTTATTGTGAGACTAAACATATTCGGTTTTTAACGTAGTTAATATCATTTATTAAAAAAAAAAAAATGACAACCGTCCCAGAAAAAACAAAAGAAGAAGGGCAAAGCAGAAGTAGAGTCCACATGTTGCAAACAGGTGTGAAGGCAACAATCACAAACCGAAAAACTGGTCTGGATTTGTAATTAGTTGGCCAACCAGAGAGATAATGGGATTTCTATTTGACTGAATCATTCATCCCACAACAGGCTTCTCTCTCTCTCTCTCTCTCTCTCTCTCTCTCTAGAAGCTTAATCCAGCTCAAAAAGCACTTTTCTATCTTCCTCTCAGCTGATAGATCAAGCATTTTACCAGAAAAAAAAAAAAAGCAAAAAATACAGGGACTTTGAAATGGCAAGCCCATTCAAAGACCAATCTCATCACTCATTATCTCTGGCCAAAAAGCTCTTGCCTTATGCAATCTATGTCCTCCTCCCCATTGCTGTAATCCGCTTGTACTTATACACTCCCTCTCTCCCTCTCACCTCCACAGATCACCTCCCTCACTCCAGAGAAATTACCATCTCAACCTCCTCTCCTACTCCATTACCCCACATTTCCTCCTCTCAAGGTACTTACTAAAAGCATTTTTCTGTGCAGTTATCTTTTTCTTTAATTTTTCCAGTTGGATTTGTTTTCTAGGTACTTAAGGCTTGAATCTTTATCATAGATAACAAAGATTTTGCCTTATATTTTTTGTTGGGTTTTTGTTGTGTGCAGAAAAGGCTAAAGAAACTACATCTACATGTGACTACACCAGGGGCAAATGGGTCCATGAAAAGCTGGATCCTTTGTACAATGGCACAACCTGTGGGACAATCAAGGAAGGTCAGAACTGCATCACTCATGGAAGAACTGATTTGGGTTATCTCTATTGGAGGTGGAAACCGAGCAAGTGCCAGCTCCCCAGGTTTGAACCCAGCACTTTTCTCCAACTCATTAGCAACAAGCACATAGCTTTTGTAGGGGATTCCATGGCCAGGAACCAGTTGGAGTCCCTCCTCTGCATGCTTGCCACTGCCTCTCCTCCCAACCTTGTTTACACAGATGGGGAGGAGAGGAAGTTTAGGAAATGGAATTTCCCGTCCCACAATGCCAATTTATCGGTTTATTGGTCACCATTTCTTGTGAAAGGGGTTGAGAAATCACCAAATGGTCCAAATTATAATAAATTGTATTTGGATCAAGTTAATGAAAGGTGGGCCGCAGATTTGGGGGGATTTGATATGATTGTATTGTCAGTTGGGCATTGGTTTTTGCACCCAGCAGTGTATTTTGAGGGGGATGATGTTCTGGGGTGCCATTTTTGCCCTGGATTAAACCACACTGAGATTGGATTCTATGATGTGTTGAGGAAAGCTGTGAGGACTACTCTCAATACCATAATTGAGAGGAGAGGGAATGGGAATGGGATTGATGTGGTTCTGACGACGTTTTCGCCTGCGCATTTTGAAGGGGAATGGGACAAGATTGGGGCTTGTTCAAAGACCAAACCCTACAAGGAGGGGGAGAAGCAGCTTGAAGGGATGGATGCCGAGATGAGGCAGCTTGAGGTGGAAGAAGTGGAAGCGGCCAGGGCAAATGGGAAGAAATTCGTAGGGTTTAGGCTGGAGGCATTGGATGTGACAAAATTGTCCTTGATGAGGCCAGATGGGCATCCAGGGCCTTACATGAATAAGTTTCCATTTGCTGATGGGGTACCTGAGAGGGTGCAGAATGATTGTGTGCATTGGTGCTTACCAGGGCCTATTGACACATGGAATGAGATTCTGCTGGAGGTTATGAAGAAATGGAAACAAAGGAAGTGAATTGAGGAGAAGAACTTTCATGTAACGGTGATGCTACTGTGGCGGTATTCCAAGCCGCACTTCAATGTTGGAAAATTAGCTTTGACATTGCGTGATTGGTTTGGAATAGTGACTCGATGGCATCCCTGTTGTTGGTAAGTTTCTTTCGAGAATTAAGGAGAGCAAAATGAGTTATTACTGAATCAGATTGATGGGTTTTGTTTGTTTGTTTCATTCTTATTCCCAGTTTGTGTGGTGGTTACGAATCTGGGAGAAGGCCAAATGAAGGGGAAGACAAACTGCATTGACTGTTGTTCTGTTGTAATGGAAGAATGAGTTGATTGTAAGATTTGTTGGAGAAGGTTTGAGAGGGGCGCGGACAAAAACGTGAGTTACGCCGGTTGGTCAAGGTGGTGTGTTTGCTCCGTTACATCTAAGTTCGAAACTCTTGTCACGTTGACTACAATTTTCAGCCTTCAAATTCTGTTCCAATATTTTGGGAATTTGTGTGGTTGCAAGTTTGTATCTTTTAAATGTGTCTTGCTTCCCAACTTTTATGGACATTTCTAACCTGAACGAAATGGAAATACCTTAAATTTTTCGAAGTAATATGTCATAATTCGGAGTACTCTTGGGCTCGATTGGTATTCTATTTGAGTTCCACCTTTTTAACTCGAAAAAAATTTTGAGTAACAATTCAAGATTCTTGTTTGGTAGGCAATTCCTGAAAATACAGTTAAAAAAGAACTCAAACACAAAAGCCTATTTGTTAAAAACACAAAAAGTATGTTTTTAAACATTTTGGATCTTGCCTCTCTCTGTTGCATCCCTCTCTCGAAGGCCAAGACAAATCGACGGTGATGAACAATCGGAGAGAGAAGAATCACAGATTCGATTTGTTTCTCTTGCGATTTTAAAGTTAATGAATTTTAGATCTGAAATCAATGACGCGATAGGCCTCTCTTGCCGCAAGGGAGAGAGATATGGGACTGGCCGCGGCTTTTGAACGTGGATCTGGATCTCAGAAATCCTTATATTGTAACTGTTCATCATTTTTGTTAAATATTATTTATATTTAATTTTAAAAAAAAAATTTAAAATAATTTTTATCGTAATTATGTAAGGTTTCCATACTATCATTTTAGATAAATTATTTTTTGTTGGTCTTATTATATCTTAGTGCGAGGAGGGATGGACAGTTGGGAGATCGTACCGGGTGTACGAAAGTTTTGTTTTTTCTTTTGAGGTTCTAAACTTTATAATTTCGTTTTAAGAATGAATTTTTTAGTAGTTTGAGAAGTTGACTGCTAAACATGTTCTTAAATTTTAAAAATTTAAATCAAATTAAGAAAAATTAATTTTTGAGTTCAATTTTTAAGTAAGATGTCAGATAGTTGATGTCAAAGTAGCCTTTCGATGCTCAAAACATCCAAAGTTGCTTTAATTGGCTTCACTAATTTTACATTTTAATAAAAGTTGATCGTATAATATATGATTAAAAAATCCTCAGAATCTAAGAGAAGATCCGAGGATCTTCTTTTCTTGAGATGTCTGTCAATTCAAATGTGATTTGAACTCCACACAAAGTAATCAACTGTTTCGCTTCCATCCTCCACTGTGAGTTCTATGGCCGCAACTGTTTCACTCTCGTTCTCTTTAGATCCACAGCACCACCACCACTGCCATCTCTACCACTTCAGTCCCCGCCAAACCCTTCCCTTCCCTCCGTCAACCTCCTCATCTCTTAGTCTTCCCCCCAAATACCCACTTTCTATTTTCCCCAATTCGGACCGTTTCTCCTTCAAGTCTTCCTCCTCCCCATCTCGTTCTCCCACTACCACCACCGCTACTGATTCCACTACTACTGATTCCGCCACCACCACCAATACTGATTCCGCTGCTACTACTTCAACAGCTTCGTCATTCCTTGAATACCCACTTCGAACATGTAAGTTTCTGAGCAATGAAGAGCTCGAGCAGCTCAAACTCCTCGAGGGTTTCAGGTATTACCAGGAATTGGAATCTGGGTCGATGTGGATTCGGGTGATGAGGCCGGAAGAGTTGGACATCACCGTTGGGTTGCTCGCCGAGTCGTTTGCGGAGTCGATGCTTTTGCCTTCTGGGTACGTGTCTGTGCTGGGATACTTGGTCAAGCAGTACTTGTTTGAGAGAATGGAGCTGCTTCCCTACACTGCCACGCTCATGGGGTTTTACAGAAGAAAAAAAGAAGAGGAAAAGGCAGAAGAAGAACAACTGGAAGAAGTAGAAGATGAAGTTGAGCTTTTGGCGGGGACTGTGGAAGTTTGCTTTAACAAAAAGGGGGCCAATGCTTCTCCTCCCACACCAACTCCTCCCAAGAATTCGCCTTATATAAGTAACATGGCCGTGAAAAAGTCGCTTCGGAGGTTCGTTTTGCTTCCCCAATTGAAGCTTTTACTTTATCATTTGTTTGTTTCTTAGGCTTGTTATAACTTACAATTGGAAATTTGGGGTCCTTATGTGCTTGTCACAATTGTATTGCATTGCATTTTTGTCGTAATTCGCAGATTGAATCCATTGAGTTTTTGTAATTTTATTGTTTTTTGAACTGACTGATCACAGGACTACTCATCATACAACACTAGTTAAAAAAAAACAAACAGCCTTTTCTTTACGGTGTTGCGAATGGAGCTAGATTTAAGATATGGTTTTGTGAATTTCAGGAGGGGCATTGGCTGGCATCTTTTGAAGGCAAGCGAGGAACTAATCTCGCAGATGAGTTCCTCAAGAGAGGTGTACTTGCATTGCAGGATGATTGACACAGCTCCATTCAACATGTATAAAAAAGCAGGATACGACATTGTAAAGACAGATAACATTTTGGTTATGTTGCTGTTGCAGAGGCGCAAGCACTTAATGTGCAAGAAAATTCCAGTGTTAAACAGCTTTTCGGAATCAGATACGTCATGCTCTGAAGAGGAATCAACACCATGAATGTATATATGTGAACATCATAATATGTGTCTCTGAGGTACACATGCAGTTACTGCCACAATCTTTTTTTGTAGAATGCACCGATAAATCATTGTGCAGATATATCTCATACTGTTGCCTTTTCCTTAAATCCAATTTTGTCCAGGATAGATGATTAGAGGCATTGAGGAGGTTGTGAGGATTATCCAGCTCAGTTGACGTCTTTGTAGAATGCTTGATCCTATGAGCCGATTGCTTGCATTTTGTGATGTGTATGGTAGAGTTCTGGCTTGCTGCAGGTAATCTCATCAGGCAAGTCCATTTCTTGTATGCCATATGTAGTACTAGACTCCTAACCTTAATGCAAACATATAGTTCAATGACTATATCCACTCTAGTTTTGGTGCATGTGAGTTAGAAATTGTATATACATAATCCTGAAGTTTAATACAAGGAATATATTTCGGGAGCTTTGAGTGCAATAAAAGTTCTAGAATTTGCTCCAAACAATCCCTCCCTCCCTCCATTTTCTTTTCTAGCTTTGGCGTCTGTTGCTTCAGTGAAGTGCTTTTCTTCTTGAAGAATTTGAGTAAATAGATTAAGAAACGATAGAGATACATGAAATTGTAATATGCTTCTCTCTTGCTTGTGACTGTAAACTCATACGGAAAACATATATAAAGTACAAATTACATATACTCTGAGTTTAACAGTATATAATTTACAATCGCAAAGGTTGTAAAGTTTCCAAAACATAGTGATACAAGAAAATGATCCCCTCTTATCTTTGATTTCATTCATTATTAATTTACGTCGTAGACTCCCTTGGTCTCACCAAGCTTTGAAGATTCAACAATTCTTTTATTAGAAGAAGTAAAGGATTTCAATTTTGTTGTACATAATCTTCACCCTGCAATTAGAACGTGCGTTTATTGGGAGCCACGGCCACTCCCAAGCTTTTCGCATTTGTATAGATTATCAGCTGGAGCTCTTTTACACATTCTGCCATGGAAGGTCTCTCACTGCTCTCAGGACGCACACACCGTGATGCCAGGTTTGCAAACATAGCTATAGATTCCATGGTGTATGAACTTTGACCCATCTCAGAATCTATCACCTTGCGTAGTTTCTTCCGATCATTCAATATGTGTCTTACCTGTAACATATCAACTTTGGTCATGTTTAATGACCTAATATACTTAACCACCATAATAAGTAGGATTAGGAGTGAGAAAAGATTTCCTACCTGTAGCACAAGGTTTTGATCATTTGGTCCCAAGGTAATGTCAACGGCTTGACGCCCAGTCAGAAGTTCAAGAAGAACCACTCCAAATGCATAAACATCACTTTGTAAAGTGAGTTTTCCGGTCTGTTTCCAAATACACCTCTTGTTATATAAGTGTAGCATTGTTTTTTTCTATGAATAATATGATCAAAAATATCTTACGAGCATTCATTTGCGAGTTAAATATATAAAAGTGAAAATTACAGGAAGCAGCATGCATCACAAGCATATATAACGTGGAGCTTATGAAATTTCTGGAGAAAATTCGTCGTTGTGTCGAACTATATTGCTTCTGTTCGCCTATTTTTACAGTACTGAACGCGGAGAAGTTGCAGAATGCATGAAATTTAATAGAATATATTTGTTTGAGAAACAAAACTTTAAATGCAGCCATATGGAGTGTTCAAAGATGCATACCGATGTATACTCGGGATCAAAGTAGCCAAATGTTCCGAGCACTCTAGCAGTCGCTTGTATTTCCTGGCCCTCCGGCATCATCGTGGCAAGTCCAAAGTCCGATATCTGCATGAAATCGTGATTAAATTTCAGCTGCATATGTTCTGTTCAAAGTTCAAAAGCAACCTGACGCAAAATTTCAAATCAAGTAAACTTGTTGTTACCTTTGCTTCAAAGTTGTCGCTTAAAAGAATATTGGTGGATTTGAAATCTCTGTGAACAATGGGAATCCCTACAGCAGAACTAGAATGCAGATATGCTAGTCCCCTTGCTGCTCCAAGTGCCATCTTGAGCCGTCGAGGCCAATCCATTTTCGCTTCCCCAATCGCTGTCATACGATTAAAGATTGTTCTGAAGATTAGCAAACTGATTAATTATTCACATGTTAATTAAGCATGTATATGCATTCCTAGTTGAAAATCCAACCGTTTAAGTGATCTTGTAGGTTCCCTTTCTGCATATATTCATATACCAGAAATCGTTGCTTCCCGTCAGCACAATAGCCGATCAAAGAAACCAAATTTGGGTGTTCAAGTCTGCTCAAGATATCTACTTCGACCCGAAATTCTCGTTCTCCCTCGGCTGCTTTAAAAGGTGGGAGCTCCATTTTTTTTATCGCTGCAACCTTTACATTCCAAAACAGAGTGCATATTAGTATGTGCATGGAAATCTGAGTTCTTCAAAATTCCATAAACTAATTACTAAAGAAATATACCTCTCCCGACCGCAAAGTTCCCCGGTATACACGCCCAAACCCTCCCTTTCCGAGCAAATTTTCCTCACTGAAGGAGCATGATGCCTCTTCCATTTCTTTGAGTGTGAAAATTGATGAGCCATGGTGGTGTCTTTTGGTGAGTTGGGGGGTTTTATCCTCGAGCTGCCAGTACTCCACCGGTTTATAAATCCCTGAAAGGTGATCACACGTAAATCATAACGAAAAGTTGGCATCAAACACTTTGCAAACAAAGCGGCAGGGAAAGAGAAGAACAATAAGAAAAAGAACGTACAGGGGTCTGTAAGGTAATGGGACTTTGATCGCCGGCACTTGTTCCAGGCCGAAACCAGACCAAAAGGCATATAATGGTTCTTAGGTTTGTTTGATCCAGTTTTCTTCTCAGCATTGAGGATTGAAATGCATGGGAGGGTAGAAAACGAAGTCGAAATTTTCATAGTTTGAAAAATACAGAAGAAGAAAAAATAAATTATATTATGAGAATTGGGGCGAGAGTGTACGTATAGAGCAACTGAAGTTGGATTAGGAGAGGAGAGTACTCAACAAATCATCCGCCAATAACCCTAAACGGTAGCTCTCACTGCACAAACAAGTACAACAACAAATTGTATCCCACTAAGTGAGGTCAAGTGTATGGATCCTACAATGCGGCCACTGTGCTCAGTTTTGTGTTAAATCTTTCGTTAGCTCCACCTCCAAGTATTCCATGTCTGTTCTTAGTGTCTCTTTCCAATTCTTCATAAGTCTTCATCTACCCGTTTTGCCTTGAACCTCTGCTTCATAATCACATCTTCTAACTGGAGCATCTATATATCATCAATTCACATGTTATACCACCTTAACCGATTTTCATTCATCTTATCTTCAATTGTGGCCACTTCTATTTTATCTTGGATATCTCGTTCTTAATTATATCCTTTCTCTTGTGTCTACGCATCCAACAAACAAGTACTTGAAGAAAAAGAAAAAAAAGAGAGAAAGGAAAAGTTGGTATTGCTTTTTGCTTGCTTACTATTGGATGATGAGGAAGGTGTTTGACAAGGAAATTGAAGCTACTGCAACACCTTTTTTTGTTACATTTTTAAAATTTTCTCAACGAAAAAAAAACAAAGGGGTTTGCAGTTGAGAGGGTGCTTTCATATGTTTGTCTCATCATTTTTTTTATTGTTTGATTTGCTACTATTTTCTATTATTTGAAAATTTGAAATGGACAATGTAATGAAATTATGAGATGCTCAGAATTAATGCAATTTTTGTCGCAATCAACACCAAAATGGGACCCAAAAAGTTTAGTATTATTTTTGGTTACTCAAGTATTATACTTTTTTTTTCTTCTAGTTGTATGAAAAGGAGGGCGGAGTCGATGGGTAAATAATGCATGGCGTATATTTGACACATCAAACGTAGTTTATACTTAACATTAATATTTATTTTGAAAAGGGTAATGTTAGGGAGGCCAAAATTTTAAATTAAATTTACAAACCAAATAATGTCATCAATAAGAAATAAATACGTTAATCAACACTTAAATAATAATCCAATCATTAACAACCATATCTTTTGATTTAAAATTTAGTTTAAAAATGCTAGAAAGATCAAATTATCCTATTGAAAAATGATAAACACAAACCAATTAATAGAGTGCATTTTTGCTCAACACCATTTAGTGTGGTGTATGTTCACCATCATATTTATCACCGTTAGATGAATTTGAATTTTGAGATTTGTGTTTATCCACTACACGAATCTCGAAATTCAAACTCATCGAACAATGATAAATAAAATGGTAAGTATACACTACACTAAATAATGGTGAGCAAAAATATTCCCCAATTAATATTAACTTTCATGTGTCCTCACACATAACACTAATCAGTTCACCTACTCTCAATTAAAGCACGGACAACATTCTCTGTGATTCATTTGAAAACAGTCTCCATTCATAATGGTTGTGCACTGTCGAGCAAACTCGCCCCTAACTTAGGTGAGTCGCCCTTCTCTATTAATATCATCTTTACAACGAGTAAATAATTTTGAAAAGTTGTAGGAAATGATTGAGTTACAAATTTTAACTGTTGAACGGATCAAAATATATCAAATATTAATAGCATATTTATTAAATAATAAATATTAACCGTTATCGATCGAATATTAGTTATACATCGGATAAATATTGATAACATATCAATTAAATATTATTGTTTTATTGATCAAATATTCCTTTAACATCTTATTATATAGTATAAAAAATTGCCAAAGATCAATTTTGTAGCTACGTTTTAGAACTTTTTATTTTTTTAAGTCATTTCCAACCCAAAGAGCTAAAGATAGCCCCGTCTAGAATTATAATCTTATAAGAAATTATATCTTAGTGACAATGTAGGCCATATTATACATCATCTCCAACCGCATGAGCTAAAAATAGCCTCTTAATAATTTATTAGTTTTAAGTTTAATTTTAAAAATTATTAATTATTTAATTTGGCCATAATTCTAGAACAAAAACACCAATTAAAGTAATGAATAATGCTAGGGAGACTACATATGTAGACAAAATTTTGTAAACTAAATGACATGAAAGTTGATGATTGGATTATTATTTAAGCGTTGATAAACGTGCTCATTTATATTGGTTACACATCATTTAATTTGCAAATTTTGTCTACAAAGTTAGTCACTCCAGTTCCCCTATACTAATTGGGCGGCGTTCTCCTATGTCATACATGATGCGTGTGAATGGTATCAATTTTGGTTGCGTTAGTTATGGAGGTTAATAAAGTGGCAGTTGAGCTAATTCCTACTGAATTTAAGACCTCCAGAGCACTCAAACTAGTATATATATGCATGCCTAATTCTCAGAAATCTCAACCAATTCTCTAAGCGATTAGTCAATTTCCTCTTGTTCTATATAGTACACTCTTGTTCTAGCTCAAGCTAGCTACCACATTTTACATAACAATGACTACATTTGATGGAAAGCTTGAGGTTGAAGTTGAGGTGAAGTCTCCTGCACAAAAGTTTTGGGAAGCCCTTAGGGACTCCACCACTGTCTTCCCCAAGGCATTCCCTCAGGACTACAAAAGCATCGATGTCCTCGAAGGCGATGGCAAAGCTGTCGGATCCGTTCGCCTTATTACATATGCTGACGGTACGTTCATGCAGAATGTTCTTACTAGACTTATGTTATACTTAAATTTACAAATTCATGTCTGAGACTCTGATACAAATTTACAGTTTGACAAAAGAACGTTTTCTTATAAATAGCGCATTTCCTTGCACATAGATTCTGCACTTGTGAAAGTATCAAAGGAGACGATCGATGCAGTGGATGAAGTCGGAAAGGCGTTTGCTTATAAGGTGATCGGCGGAGATCTGCTCAAGTACTACACGAGCTTCAAGTGCGTCCTAACCGTGACTCCCAAGGGAGACGGGAGCTTGGTGAAATGGTCATCGGTGTATGAGAAAGCACACGAACAGGTTCCCGAACCAAGCATCATCAAGGATTTTGCTGTCAAGAACTTCCAGGAGCTCGATGCCTATGTTCTGGCTAATTAATTAATTACAAGCTTAATTGAGCTGGCTTTGGAGATCATTGGAGTTTTCCCTTAATATTTAATGGCCGAATAAATAAGATGAGTCGAAGTTGTATGGATGCTAATGCACAAAGCAGGTTTTATCTGAACCCTAATTTGTAAGCAGCTTGTGCACCCTATAATATTTAAGGTTTTGATCTTTTACTTTTATATGCCAGTAATGTTTTCAGTGTTCGTGTTCCCCTACAGTTTGCTTGCCGTTATGATGATCATGATGTCCATTATTGTTTTGTGACCCGATGATTTTAGGATTTTCGCACGATGATCATGATGTGCATTAGCGTTTTGTGACCCGACGATTTTAGGTTTTTCTCACGTACTTATAAGAAGAAAAAGAAAGATGTCTTAAGTCGCACAAATAAATGATAAAAATAACGTTTTTGTTAGGGGTAAGTTTACAAAAGACAGATGGAGTTGCTGTCATTGGACCCAATAATCAATTCCCTAGTGAGAGCCGACCAACTACCTTGGACGCCCGGATCACATTTATTGGCGAAAAATAATAAAACAAAAGTAAACCGCAAAGTTGATAAAGTTGTTGCAAGGGATTTCTAGTTTATTGGTCGATACTTGCAATTATTCATCCGAAATTCAGTGTTTAATTTTTTTTTAAATAAAGAACAGAAATAAAGCAATGTGATATTCATTAATTACGTGAGAAACTGAAGTAGAAATAAAAGTGGTATATCATTGTGACAAGAGGGAAATTAAAGTACAACGAGATATTATTTTTTGTGTCTATCTTTTTTTTTACGTATAAGTTTTTTTGTCTTAAAAAACAAAAGCATTTATATTCTTTGGCAATAAATAATGAAGTCAATAAGTAAAGATGAAGTTGTTGAGTAAGAACATCTCGAAAAGAAATGTCAAAGTTTTAAATGATTGTTGACGTGACTAATTGTCTATAGATGTTAAATTTCTTTTTTTCAATGAATGTGTCAAATATTTAGTTTATTAATATATTGACCTCATGGTTACATTAAACATTAAAAAATAATTAAAATTGATTTTAGTTTGCATTCTATTGGTGTCAATGGGACTCATACATTAAAAAAATTAAATTAGAAGCTTTTTTTTTTTTTTGTCAAAGAAATTAAAGGCATTTGACTCTATATTTGTTTGCTCTAAAAATGACAATTAGAAAGTAAAAGGTCAAATGACTCAGCTATCACATTATATATGACATCTTTTTGAGAGAACAAGATGATGTCTTTAGTCCTAAATAGGTATTTGACACCTTTTTTCGAAATGGCCTAAAGGAGGCGAAGGCAGATTATCTGCCCTCCTGTTTGGGTGCCCTTCCTATCCCCTGCTATTTTGTGCGATCACGGTTAAGCCACGTCAACATTTTATATTGATATTTTTATAGAGATAATAAGACAAAAATCAATAGAAATATAAAATATTGACGTGACTTAACTGTGACCGCACAAATAAAAATGGATAAAAATGACATTCAAATAGAAGGACAGACAATCTGGCTCTAAAGGAGGCATGCTGTTGTCCTAATTGGAGGACGGGGAGATTTGGATCGATTGTCAAATGGGCCCATGTTGCGCTGTGGTCGTGTAGTTTTTATGGGTACTTCTACGTTGGGTTGTTGTGCGGGACTTTGGGTCTCAAATCGTTTGCCGTCATCATAACGTCTACTAATACAAAGCCTATCAAATCACTAATAACAAGCTACTTATATAATTCATCTACATAATCTTGTATGGATAATATTTGCGTTGCCTTTACAAGGGAATGAACGTATCTTACAATTTGTAAATAGTACATTTTTATTGTATAAATTATATACATTTGTATTCTTAATCTTCATTTGAAGATCATTTTTTAAAAATTTGGTCGAATTAGAGATCGTTAAGTCATCCAAATACACTAAATACATGAAGAATTTATCATGATTATGTTATTATTACTTACACCGTCAATTTATTATGCGCGCACACACACACACACACACATTTCATATGAATATGTTATTAGTACTTACACCGTCGATTTATTTTATATATATATATATATTATATGTATGTATGTACATTTCATATCTACATTTCATATGATTGCATTTGTATTATTTTTTTTGTTCTTAACATGAAAACACATAGGCATGTTCCTTCTCACATAAACCAATACGAGCATCTTTACCGTTCAGTGAAAGGCCAAGACAAGGCAAGGGCAAGCGTATCTCCACCAATATTTGCTTTTGTGCGACTTTACCAGTTTGAAATGAATAAAGGGAACTTTAATGAAAAGCTCTCTATATTGTTCATTTAACGAAAAATCACATTTTTATACTGAAAAGTCATGATAGGAGCATATTTATGTTACTTAATTATGTTGTTTCCTTACATTTAGTTAGCTAATTACTACTTATTTATAGTGTTTTAAGCTATTTTCGTGTGTTTGTAGGTCCTAATAACAAAGTTGGTAAGAAAAGGCAATTTTGAGCCTTTTAGAGCAGTTTTGGGCTTATTATGGATAGCTTGTATATGGAGCAAGGTGGATGGACGAATTTGGAGTCAGAAGAGGCTAGGAACATGCTACAAATCAGAAAAGACAAGTTCAAGACAAAAAAGATACGGAAAGAGCAAGAAATATGGAAACTTATCCTAACAACCTTATCTTATCCAAACCTTATCCTATCTTATCCTAACCTAATCTTGTTCCACCTTAATTCTAGCTGCAAGTGGACCTAAAAACATGATTTCTAGAAGCTTTATCTGACCCTAAAAGAGTGCTGCACCCTTCTCCCTTTTATTTCTTCTAGAAGAGCCAAAATCAGCCACAAAACACCTTGTTTCTAAAAGAGCCAAAATTAACCTAATTTTGGGCGAATTTCCCTAACCTTTTTCCTCTTGGATTCTAATTTAAATTGGCCCTTTTCCTCTTGGATTTGGATTGTATAAGTCCATATCATAAATTAATTGGGCTATGAATTATTTTCCCAAGCCTTGCCGCACCCTAGGAACCCTAATTCTGATTTCCTAGGGTCTTACCGTCCATGAATTATTTTCCCAAGCTATGTCATCCATGGCTCTGATACCAAATGGGGCGGAACTAACAATACCAGGAGGTAAAACTGTCCATAGAATTCAGAGTGCGGAAGTAAAACATGTATAAGTAGAATTTGAGTTCAATGAGAGGGATTGAGGATTTAGACCTTTCACGCAACAATTTGTCTGGTGAAATTCCACAGTTTTTGGAGGGCTTTGCTTTCTTGAAGAATCTCAACTTGTGTTTCCATCAACTTTGGGGAACGTACCAATTGAAGGTGTTTTAAAAATGCAACTGCAACTTCAATTGTTGGAAACACCAGGCTCTGCAGCAATATTGCCGATCTCCAACTGCCCAAGTGCAAGACTAAAGAGTTCAAGAATAAGGGAAGATTGTCTCCTAGTTTGAAGCTAATAATCTCCTTAGTAGCTGGGTTTTCCTTTCTAGAAATGGTTATAGTGTTGTCATTATTGTTTGTTTGTTCACCAAGAAATAAAAGGAAGGGAGCAGGTCCAATTACTTTGGGGAACTCCGCTTTACAAGTGTCCGATAACAATCTCTTGAAGGTTACTGATGGGTTCTCCTCAACTAATCTGATTGGCATGGGCAGCTTTGGGTCTGTGTATAAAGGAGTTCTTGATGACGATAATGGAATTCAACCTGTTGCTGTCAAGGTGTTTAACATGTTACGCCATGGAGCCTCTAAGAGTTTCATAGCCGAATGTGAGGCGATGAGAAATATTAGACACCGGAATCTTGTCAAGGTTGTAACAGCTTGTTCGAGCGTGGACTTTTCTGGTAATGACTTCAAGGCTTTAGTTTATGAACTCATGGACAATGGGAACTTAGAGGAGTGGTTGCATCCAACTGCTGGAACACCCAAAAATTTAAGTTTTCTTCAGAGGCTAGACATTGCCATTGATGTTGCTTGTGCATTGGATTATCTTCATAATCATTGCGAGGCACCAATTGTTCATTGTGATCTCAAGCCTAGCAATGTTCTTTTGGGCAACGACTTGACTGCACATGTCTCTGATTTTGGACTGGCAAGATTTCTCTCAAACCTAACCAATAATGTTACGGAAAATCAAACAAGTTCCATTGGAGTACGAGGAACGGTTGGTTATGCTGCTCCAGGTAAACATCTTCATGTGGTTCTCTTTTTTCCTTTTGATCATTCATTTACTTGGCTGGAAAAATAAATTTAATTTACTAATGAGCTCATATTGGTCTTTTGTGATGTTTGAATTGTAGAGTATGGCATGGGAAGCAAGATTGCAACATGTGGGGATGTCTACAACTTTGGTATCCTCTTGTTAGAGATGTTTACAGGGAAGAGACCCGCCGACCCTATGTTTAGTGAAGGCTTGAACCTTCACAATCTTGTCAAGATGGGTTTGCCTCATCGAGTTCCAGAAATTGCAGATTTTCACTGCTCGACCCTTTTACTCCCAACCAAAGCAGCATAATAACATAAGTGCTGAAAAAATCCAAGTGTGTTTGAGTTCAATATTTAAAATCGGAATCTCGTGTTCTGCTGAATCCCCGAGAGAGCGAAAAGATATTAGTGATGTTGTAACTGAGTTGCAATCCATCAGGGACCTTGTCCTTGGCCAGAATCTTTTGTGATGACTCGAAATGATATCAGTCATGTTGTAATTGACAGTTGAAGTGTATTTGAATAAATGGAGGGATTTTTCACATATCAATTTGTTCATTTGCATTTCACATGGCTGTGTATCCACCTCCCCTATAAACCAAACTGCTACGTACTCTCAATCAGAAATTAAAACCGTATGCGACAAATTCATTGACACCGTAAAACATATACAATTAATCTTGAATTCCTGCACTTCATGTACAACTAGAAGAAATTTTCTACACTCAGTTGCCACGCAATACAAGCAGATTCTAATGCATCAAACGTGAGGAATTTGCAGCGCATCCACGACTGGCCATAGCATACCGGCAATCCTAATGTCTAGGAGCCTTCTTTTGTCTCAAGCTTTCTGGTATTTTCAAGGAGAACTCCCATGTCACGAGGTGTATACCTTTTTCTCTCTCTCAAGCAACCTGAGAAGAAAGATACATAGAAATAGGTGTGTATATATACATATCCTATCACCTGTGGGAGAGAGACATAGAAAAGGATATACACCCGATGATAGGTAATTTCCCGTTTAAGAATTAAAACTATTCTATACATCTTCTTCTTGCAAGAGAGGGACCTTCCTCTCAGAACTGGATTCGAGATTCTCATCAACACAGTGATCTTGATCATGTTTTTCATCTTCTCTGATTTGTCCCCATATTATAATAAAGTACCCCATTCCAGTTATGACTGCTCCCATCACACTGCAAGATTACACCTCTATTAATCCATAGAATACCAAATAAAAAGGAAATTCATAAGCAACAAAGACTACTTAATTACCTTCCATAACAAAGACTATTTGCAGATAAACTGACACCAAAAATGGTTGCAAAAACAATCCCAAACGGCTTGAACAACGGCACATAATATGGGCCCTTCATGTTCATACACCAATGTTGAACACGACTTCGAACTAGACCCCCGAAAATTGCCTACAACAAAGAGCACGCACAATGAAATTCCTCGAGATGATTAATTACAATTTAACTACATATGTTCTGTGATAATTACTTACTGTTAAAACAATCAGAAGGAGCTCCCCGTTGAGTTTTAATTTCCAAGCACTTGGGTTTCTCTCTAGGAACAAAGATAGCATTGCAGATTGGATTGTCCCAAGCAAGCTATAAAAAGTTACCACTTCCATTACTTCCACTTGTGGATATAGTTTCATCGTTCCCATCTAATCACAACAGAGTAAAAGCAAGAATCAAACAGAAAAAAAGGAAACTAATATGAAACACATCGTGCACTCCTCGCTTAATTTTTTTCACGTATGACTTTTTAAACTCTCAATAACAACTTCTTCAATAAATTACCTGAATGATGTTCCATACGGAAACGGATAAAGTAGATGTTGCCAGTAAAAGGCCACCCACAACCCAATGCTCTTTCTCTGAGGAGAAGATTAAGCCTAATTTCTCTACTCGGAGTTGAAGTTGATTAATATACCAATATGAAGAGGAAACCGAAGATTTTCTTATATATTCACCCTTGTAGAGTTCAACCACTATTGCCCCAATGATTGATATTAGTGTGCCACTTACTTTGGCCTGGAAACCTGAGCTTCTCCAATCTAGTTTCGCCCTCCTGTAATTAAGATAATTGGGTTAATTTCATGAAACTGTTATTGTTATTACAATAATTTTATCATACACTTCTTCTTTTATAAAATAAAAACAAACAGAAAAATACACACGGAGGAGTGCAAGAGAACATTTTCGTAGTGTCAATATTGCAACATTTATACTAGCTAGCTTTTTTTTTTTTCGATTTATACTGGTGAGATAACATTTTTGTCGTTGTAGGAATTAATTACAAACCTGAGTGAGACAGAGAGCAGGAAGGAAAAAGATGGGATCATTAGGCCCATGGCACACACAAGAATAGGGGAGCTGTAACTTAAACCAAGGAATCCAAGATTCTGAGATACTGTTATCCTACAAAAACAAAACACAAACGAGCGAAAGCAAGAATTTTTATTCTTCTAAAATGGTCGTAAGGTTCCATAAGAAGTAACTAAATATTGCACATAACGTGTAGACTTTATTCATACAATTATTTTATTCACATGGTTGAGAATGGATGAATATTTATTTGAAAAATTATTGCATGCCACTTAAATAGAGTCATACGGTATAAATAATTTATTTTTACCAAATGATATATATTCTAAAAAACAGGAAGAAAAATTTAAATTTGAGTGTAAATAGAGAGCACATTGGCTTGATCGACTGACTTGACATAAGTCTGCATCCACGTTGTATAATACAGTTTGGTAGACATTCAGGGTATAATATATAACCACTATACCTGTATTGCAACATGTTTGGATTGGTTATATTATGTGTCCTAGTAAAAATTTCTATAGGTAGGAATTTTTTTTTTTTTTTTTCCTATAGAAGGGGGACAGAAGAATAGGTCCCATACAGTACATAGCTGAACATTCTAAGGCTTGCTGAGGTCAACTGGAGAATCCATGGATTCATGCGTTGGAGATGAGATGGAAGAATATGAAGTGCATACCCTGTAAAACCCAAGAGGAAGCATCGAACGAAGAGAGCCCAGGTGAAGACTGATTGCTGTGTTGAATCTCTTCTGCTGCTACGATAATTAATGTCATTGAATTATATACTATCGGAAAAAAAAAAAAAAAAAAACAAATACCAGTCTTGCAGGTTTCAAGTATAGATTGTCAATATGTCATCGATAATAATATTATTGTAATGAAGTAGCTAGTACGGTCAATATTACTTGAAAGTATGTATATGTATGAGAGGGAGAGAGTAAAAAGAGCAGATTGCCAATATATCATTGTAACGAACTAGGACCATCAAAATATTACGTGGAAGTATGCGTTTGAGAGAGAGACAGGGAGAGAGATATACCTGCAGCAGCGAAAGAGGAAAGAAGAGAGGAGGAGGAAGAGAGAGGAAAGGGAGTGAGTATAGACGACAAAAACAAAAGGGCTCATGCCATTATTTGTCATGACAGATTTTACCCAAATGGTTAATATTATAGTACAACCTTCCATCGCCACCATCACTACAAACGGCACCGTTTCCTGCAGTTTAAGGTTACTCATCATCCACATCACTGCTTCTGATTACTCTCTCTCTTAGTTTTGCATCAGCTAAAAAAGCTAGCAAGTTTATAAGAAGAAGAAAATTGGCTCTCTCTCTCTCTCTCTCTCTCTCTCTCTCTCTCTCTCTGTATGTATGCGAAGACAGGTAGAGGGAGGGCAACCCTTCATGAAAAGGTGAAGCTACTTGAAAAGGAGAAGTAGCTACTCGGATTTATACTTATCATTACTATTATTATTAATACAAGGGAAGCTGACCTACTTTGGACAAAGGTTTCTTATAAATATTGATTTCCTTTTTGGACAAAATTATTTGGAGAAATTTCTAAAGTGCATCTGTCAGAATAACATGTGAAGTTATCAATTTACTCATATTCTAACATATGTATTTTTTTTAGTATAATGGTTATACTGGCATATGATATTACTAATAAGAGTACGTGAGAGAGATACTGACACGTGATATCACTAATCTACATATTATAATACATATGACTGAATAACATGATTAATATTTCATAAACATTGAGTTTAATATTAATAAATAAAAATACGTGTTAAAATATAAATGAATTGGTAATATGACGTGAACACTAAAAAGCTTCTTCAACTCGAACGCATGTTAGCCACTCATTTGCCCCTCAGTCTATCAGTTTCTTAGCGCTCCTTTATGAGCAATTCAAATTTAATAATTTGTTATGCCACCATTATAGACTGCCTTACGATTTCTTTTGCCCTTTATTTTTCAATGCTGGAAAATGGTTGTTCCGGCCTCCACTCCTCCTGGAGATTTCATTACAACATTTCAAACAACCTTGCCAAGAAATATTGTTAATTTAAAGCTGATAAGCCCACCTAATTACTCAGCTATAAGTTTATAACAAGGATCAACGGAGGTGCTTTCGTTTTCTGATAATATTTCGATGTGATTTTATGTCAAACTTTAACCTGTGCGCAGCTAAGTCCCCCGGAGTTACTGAGAAAATAGCACTAACTCTTCCTTAACTACTTTTTCCTGCATTATTGTTCTTTAAGGAAAATGGCAGATTCTTGAGCTGAATTCCACAACCCCATTTCAACAGATTAGCAAAATTCCACAATCGAATTCCCAATTCCTTGAATACGTTTATCTGCCCGGATAACCCTGTATTTTAATTTGAACTTACCTAGCAGGATATCGAATTGGAAAGTACGAAAAGCTGATGCTCACACTACTAATCCTGTAATCCATAATCGGAATACGGTATAAGATTGTACAATTTTCTTATTGTATTTGATTAAACAGTGTCAAACAATCAAATATGTTCTTCAATAACTCATTGGAAAAGTCAGAAGAAATTTGTCAAAATATATGAACCACATCTACAAATAATTTAGAAACGCTTTAGTAGTTCAAAAGGTTAATTAACGACAAGGCAATGAAGCTGCCTCCTCATGAAAGCCAGATAACGTAAGGTTCATAGAACTGGCATTGTCTTTTTAGATTTCTACTCTCTCCTGGACAATATTTAAAATGAGACAGGGGAGTCATAATATTTTGTCAGTAGCAGTGCCGGGCATGACATGCTTCACATGGTGATTCACCTTTGTAGTGAATTTGAAACTACGCTCAATTTACACCAACATACTGCGTTTGAATGAATGTATGCAGGATTCCGAGGACATATGGATCTTCATTGTGCCTGCATTACTTCGGGTGACTTACGTTCACTAGGCACGGCCTGAGCAAAACAATTCCTACAATAACCTATCCTAATTTTCGAGAATCATGGAAAGGGTAGCATTCTAAAAGAACTAAGACAAAAACAACATAGACTTACCCTTTTTTTGGCAACTGCAAAAAAAAAACTTCTATATTTCTTCAATATGGCTTTGCAATAGAGGGACCCGTTGTTTGCTCGATGCCAGGCTTCCTTCCCCTGCATCATCACCCCTCTTCTCTTCATTGGCTTTCCCCACATCACAGAATAAAATCCACTGACAATAACAACTGCTCCTATCAAACTGCAGCATTCAGTAAATGTAAGCTGAGAAGCTAAATGGTGTCCTTTTTGCAATTTTCAACACGACCAAAATTAGTGCCTCTCAATCGACGACATTTTGATATGGAGGTTACAGGGAATAAAGATTAAACCCTACCTCCCAAGGTAGAAAGTATCACCTAAGAAGGTAACACCAATGAAAACTGCAACGACAATCCCCAAAGGCTTGAACATAGCTACAAACACAGGCCCTGTCCAAGACACCAAGTAGATACACCAACCTGGAATGCTGAGCCAAACACTCCCTGCAATAATATAACTTAGCAACTTAGGTTCATGTGTTAGAAATATTACATCCAATAGGTATATCAGGGCTGGGTTTAGTTATCTAATTACCGAGTATAGAACAGCGATCCACCTGATTTTAGGTGTTAATTCCCATGAAATCAGGTCTCTTTCTACAATTGAAGAACTACTACAGATTGAATAGCCACAAAGAAGCAATAATTAAAAACCATGATCAGCTCTGCGCGGTATTTCTTTAGAACTGATGCCTGAAACACAGAAATGAAATAGGAAGTACTCTTAGTTTCTAACCAAATTCCACACTTTCAAGACGTTTTAAGTAAAAGTTTACAGATTTCACCTGTACAATAGGCCAAGATGCGGCCAAGATGCAATTAGCCGCGACACACACTCTTCCAAGGACCCAGTTTGACTGTTCGGATAAAAGTTGCTTATGAGACAACATATCAGTCATAATAGTTGAGGATGTATTCAGAATTCGGGGTCCCTTGTAAAGAGTCACAATGAAAGCCCTTCCATTCTGAAACCAGGCATTTGAACGATTTTAGAAATCGGTGACAGTGTAAGATTACCATGCTACCAATGTCTCAGAATTGCGTTGTACAACTCTTATCTGGGATGAGAGAGAGCTCATCATCAGCTAAATTCTCCTTGGAATAAAAAAACAAGATAATCGATATATTAACACTGGTTCTTCTACAAAACCTAAGAATAGAACAGGTACTCATAACTAATGCTCAGGTTTCATTAACAAAATAAGACGATTCTGATAAAATCACACTTCAGAATAAAGAAACAAAAAGGGAAACATGTCAATTGGCCAGAGCAGTTTACCGCCCGCTTGCACTTGAGTTCGAATCCCCCTCCCCATGAATTATCAATTAACAGTAGCTTAAAACATCGGTTTGGCAAAAGAAAAAAAACATGGAGGTTGATCACAATTTTCAGTTTGAGTAAAAGAGGAGGGTACAACCTGAAGATAACTGCCAGTACAAAGGTAAAAGCAGGAATGAGGTTGAGCATAGCTGTACTAGGAGTAGGAGAGCTATATTTAATCCCAGCATAACCAAGAAACTGCGCCATGAATCTGCAAAACTTATCAATCAAACCTACTAATCAGTAATCACCCACCAATAAATTAAAAATGCAACCTTGATTAATTCTCACACGGGATTTTTTGTCAACAGATGTAATTCTTAACTTACCCAATTAGACCAAGCAAGAAGAACCAACCGATGATCGAGAAAGTGAGGGGAGGGCTCTCAGATCTACCAAGAGCACATAAGATAAGAGCAAAGAAAGAAATTAACTTTATGATCAAAGTAATAAACCACAGTGACAAATCAAACCTTTGGATTCCGGTAGTTGAGAAAAAGTGAGATTTAATTATTTGTGGAAGACTAGAGAAATTAGGAGGAGGATGAGGGCGGCGAGGGCATTGGAGTAGCAGAGAAAGATAAGGTTGCTCATGCCATTAGACATGGCTATTTTGCTTATTATAATTAGCCCAGCTTGTGCACACTCACCCAACACCATCCCAACAATTGGTAGTGCTGCAATCTTCCCCATAACTCCTTTTTTTTTTGTTTTGTTCTTCGATCTCAGAACCAGAAATTTTCACAGCAAGATGCAGACATGGAGTCCTAATGTAAGACAAGCTTTGAATAAATTTAATTGATGACTTCGCCTGGGGCACCCATTTGCATGGTCATGGTGTAGTCAAATGGGCGGGACGTCGTTTGTTCTTTGTTTAAACTTCAGACTAAAATATAATTATTTTTTTATCTGCCCAATGAAACTCAACTTCAATCTCATTTTCTTTTCGGAACAAAATCACGTAATTTTACATTCTGAAACTTAATAATCGATCTAGATTTATGAGATTCTATTAATTTTCTGAAATGAGATGAAATGTGCTTACATAGGAGGGTAAAAAGATAATTTTGAATTTCATAGTAAAATGATAATTCCGTAAAAAAGAAACTTATAAATACTAGTCATAGCAAAAGTACCATTTTACCCTTTCAAGTCAATACATTCGTCTCTTTTTTAATATTGACAGATTCCCATTTGCATTTCACCTAACTTGTCCTCCCACCCCATCAACTATAATAAGGAGACTGATAGTTCATAAATTTATAACTAATTAAAAAACAACAAATAATCTGCAATTTTTTTATGAACTAAGATTATCTTCCATTCTCTTTTCATCTCCTTCTATTCCATATTCTCACATTTTCTATTTTGTCTTCTCTTTTTATAAAAAATTAATATAAGATGTTGACGTCACTTAACTGTGACCGTTCAAATAAAAGGAGAGAAAAAAAAAAAAGGAAGAGAATCTTACTCCTTTTTTTTTAACAAATAATCTGCAATTAATATTGTCTTTAATTTACATAGAAAGAAAGACTTGTGCACTACTGCTTCTCTTGTAAGCCGTTTTGTAGCAAAGGGAGCTTGTTTTGGTCTAGTGATTCGATATCGATCAGCTTCTCTTCTTTGGCCTTTCCCCACATCATGGCATAAAATCCAGTAACAATTATGGCTGCACCAACTAAGCTGCAAAGATGTTATATAATCAATTATCATTAATTAATTTGCTGATAAGAATTTTCTCTTAATCATCAACCCGATTTTCTAAGTTTCTAACAAGCCAAAGACTTTCCCACCCAGCAGCTTTCACCGACTGTCAATGATTCAACCAAAGAAAAATCAAATAATTGAACGGGACAAGTTTAGAGCTCTTTTGATAACTGTTTTGTTTTTAGTTTTAAGTTTTCACTATTTGTGCTTGAGATATCAAGCAAGACTAAGTAAGAGGTTGAAACAAATTATATGTATTATTATACCTTCCAAGATAGACTGAATCTCCCAAAAATATGATACCCATGATCACACCAAAAATGATTCCAAGAGGCTTAAACATAGAACAATAAAAAGCTCCAGCTTTCTTCACACACCAGGTGACTAAACTGTATCGGAGAACCGTCGAAACAATTCCCTGTAAATGATTGTACAAAATTTAACTTCTAACTATGAGCTTTAAAAAATCTTTTACTTTGAGCTATGAAAAAAAAAAAGAACTCTAATTTGTTTACTGTGTATAAAATAGCAATGATCCCCACATCCAGCCTTAATTCCCAGGCACTTGCACCTCTAACTGCAATTACAGTAAATGCTGCAGACTGAATGGTCGCGAATAAGCATTGGAAAAAGACAATGAACACAATTGCAGGGTACTTCTTAACGATTGTTGCCTGCAACATTTGGAATTATAGAAAGAAAGAGAGAAAAAAATTGTAATTTAATTGGTTGTTATTTGCTTTCAGCTCTATAAAAGGGTAACCGAGTAATACACCTAATTACCTGCAGAATGTACCATAAAGAAGTTGACAAGGCGTCAGCTGCAAGAAAAAGCCCTCCGAGGATCCAGTTTGATTTCGATGAGGAAAGGATCAGTTGGTTGAGTGAACTAGCAAGTGATGATGATAGCCGTATGATTGGGAGGCCTTTGTAAAATGTTACAACAAATGCTCCTGTGATTGATACTATGGTTCCCAAAACTTTTGCTTGGCTGCTTGAGCTTCTCCAGTAAACTCTTTCCATCCTAAAGTTAAACCACCCAATATTTTTGACAAAAAAAAAAAAAAGGAACCACCCAATATTTGAAGCAATGCATGTTGATTACTTCTTAAATAACACAACAAAAGTTATCAAGTTCCAGCACTTTGTTTTAATAGTATGAGTAAAATTCTCATATATTGAAAATTTTCATATATGATACACGTGTTCTCACCTTTTTCACACATTTTTCAATAGTACGAGTAAAATTCACATATTATTGAAAAGGATTGTAATTGAAATTTCAGAATCATTAGAAAAAAAAATTATCGAATAATACACATACATATTCTTTTCATATTTTTATGGTGTCTTACATTCTAATTGGATTTTATAACCAACTATAAAAAGAGAGTTTAATATTTTTGGTCAGTCTTTTTTTATTGATCTTTAGTCAGTTATACAGTACTTGCCCTCGATCAGTTACAGTGAAAGAACTCAATTATTTGGTCCCCAAATTCAAACCAATACTATTATTCTCAGTATCAAGAAAGTAAAAAGAAAGGAAAAAAAAAGCAGAACCTGAAAATGATGGCAAGTATGAAAGTAAAAGCTGGGATGAGGTTAAGCATGGCCGTGCTAAGTGTGGGAGAGCTGTATTCTATGCCAATATTTCCAAATATTTGCGATGTACAACTGCACATATATGTTGAGTAATTAAATTTCTAAGAAATTGGTCTGTAGAGTGGAGTTGCGTGTTAAATTAATTAGTGTATATGTTACCAACCAAAACAGTGCTAGCAAGAAGATTTTGCATAGGATGGAGAATGTAAGGGGAGGGCGCTCCGATCTGCCAGTGGCCAGAAAATCTCAGTAAGAAGAAAAGAAAGAAAAAATGTGACATTTTATCGTCGAATATTTTTCAAGATTTCAAAAAGACAGAGTAGTAAAATGTGTATGATTGATCAAATAAGATCTACGAAAAAAGAAAGAAAGAAATTCTGTAGAATTAACCTGTGGAAGATGAGAGCGGAAGGGAGAAGAATGAGGGCGGAGACGGCGTTGGCATAGACTACGATTATGTAGGCGTTGGTCCCTTTGGACATGGCTGCTTTGTTTACCACCATACTGCCAGTTTGAACCATCATCGCGATCACCATTCCAATAAATGGCAGAAAACCCTCCATGTTCATCTTATCTCTCTCTCTCTCTCTCTCTCTTGAAACTGCAGAGTCATAAAGACAGGTACACATTTTACAGTAGTTTTTTAAAATCACTTTGGCCCAATTTTGCCCTGCATGTAATTGTGGGAAATGCATGATTGACATTTTGGAAACTGTCAAATCTCTTTCTTTATCAAACGTTGTACTGTTCAGATCGATGCAATCAAATCCTACACTACAAACGAATACAAACTGCAGAACTTCAAAACTCTAACCCTAGTTTCCAAACAACAGTAATAGAGTTTCTTACTTGACATCTCGATGTCGATCCACTGTTGGTTTCGTATTCTCTTCTCTTGAACTCAAAAAATGGATTCCAGACTCTCAGTAGGGCAAGCACTCCAAGTGAATTCCATACACATGTCTGAGAAAAGGGACCAGAAACCTAATATATATTTGCAACTGCTTCGTCCTATTAAGGAAGTAGTGGCCGTCAGCTTTAAGAGATTATAAATGTCTCTTGGAGCTTTAAAATGGACTAGTTGTCGCACTTGTTGACAGATAGAATTGGCGGAAACCTGAAAACCAATTTAGACGCCAACACATGCGAGAGGTGGAAAAGTTCTTGTCCTGCAGAAAATTAATAAAATTATTAATAAAGTTCTTGCCCTGCAACAAGAGAAAAATCAGGGTACGTATTAAGTGTTTAATAAAATTATTAAACCTCTAGAAGAGAAGGGAAGATGAAAGCAAGACGAAGAAGAGGGCAAGCGCGTTGACGTAGACAACGAAGACAAAGTCATTCATCCCTTTTTTTAATTGTTGCTTGTTCAACCCAACATCCTAAAAGTCCACGATCACTATCATCACTGTTACTGATTCTACTTTTTATTTTTGTGGTTAACGATTCTCCTTAAGAATAGAAATGAATTATAAAAAAAATGTATATTTTTAAGTAGTTCAATAATTCAAGAGCAGTTAGCTACAACAAACGTATATTGACATTTGTTGCATAAATAATTAGTCATCATTGTATTGTCGTTATGTCATCGTTGTTCATGTATATATGTCCAATATATTGTTATATGATCGAATATATCATCGTTACTGAAAAATAATCATTTCTGCAAACCAAATATCTAATATTGCAACTAATTTCCAAGAATTCAATCCTATTGTTCATCATTTGGGGTCTTTTAAAACTAGCCCGTTCAACTCAGATTGGCACATGAGTCAAGTCCATGAACTTCTTTTAGCTTCTTATTTCCTAAGCCCATACCTATGCTATTACTGATACTAAGAAAATCATCTATAGAGTCCGAGGGAATAAATTTTGTAATTCCAAGTCCATGGGCCATAGGTATCAAGCAGCATGCCAGCATATACGTGCTAAACCTAAAACCTATAGGTAGGCATGTGGGTTATCATAGGATAGGATAAATATTGACCAATTTTGGGCACCATTGGACACTTCTACAATTTAGTCCTCGTAGTCTCTGAAGTGATCTAGTGAAAATTGGCCATGCTCCAAATTGTTAGCACACGGGGACTTATTTGGTATTTAGGGTTTGAATTGGAATTGAAAACTCCCTAATCTCAAGGCATGTTGAGGGGAGAAATAAAAAAATTGACACCAACTAGAGGATAGAAGATGGATTGCCCATAAAGGAAATTTATCCATTTTAATCTTTTCTAGAATGGTAGGATAGAAGGAACATGTTTTATTCATGCATAATCTTCTTCTAACCACCTCTAAATGAAGAATCATTTACTTCTACCTTCAATTTGATTTATCCATTTCAATCCAATCCTACTTATCAAATGAGGCCTTAATATACTTTATTATACCACGTGAGATAAATCTTGAAGGGTTTGCACAGTGAAAACGGCAAGTCAACCATCTATATTGTGCTACTTATGTTCTACAATTATAATGACGGAGGTAACATGAGATCATTTTTTTGTTACGTTGGAGGGTCTCGAACTCTGTACCTAACTACTCTTACTCATCCCTCTACCTACCCTCACCACTAGACGAACCCCAATGACTTAAGGTAAAGTGAGATCATTAGATGCACATGACCCCAGCAATCCCGCAAGATTGATAGATTATGAATGTAAATTTTGTTCGAGCATTGTACTTGGTTGTATCAAGAAACCACAATTATCGATACTTATCTCATCTTAGGTGTATTGAGGTTTCTAGGGTTCCTTTCTATTGATTGATAGATTACCAGTGTTAATTTTACAAAGCAAATCTTAAAAATTGGGCTTTTGGCTCATATATATTCTCTAAGTGCGTTTGATTTTCTTGAGGGCAATAGCTAGGGTTCTTTTGATCACTCCGTCATTGTAAATTACTGGTTACGACACTATACTACTCCACATTATGAAAAAAAAAAAAAAACAACCTTTCTAACTGTTATTCATGTTGCGTATATGCATGTGTGTATGTATGTGCGTGCATCTCCATATATATTGGATTTCCACTCTTAGATGGGTGATGTAACCATTTGGCAATGATGGGAGGGTGATGTCAATGCTTACTTGAAATAATTGGAGGGAGCGTAACTTTGGGTGATGTCAAAGCTACATGAACTAATGCTTCAATTTGACTCTAATCCATAAAATCCCACAAACTAAATAAAGTTGTTATTGTAGTACTGTTTCCATAAGCAAGGTAGGCCGGGCACTCTCCTTAGGACTTCTCAAGCTTATTTCTTTCCACCTAGCTGGAATTTATACCAGTTTAATACAAGATTGCCAAACATTCAGTATTTCTTTGATGTGGTTCTTGTCTCTGAGAATTGGAAAAGAAAATAGACAGGATAATTAAATGGGAAGAGCACATTTGGGTAGTGCTCAAATATGGCCAAACTTGGTAAAGACATACTCTCTTTTATTCAATCCACCTTCACCGCAAAATCAATTTTTAACAAATAAATAAATAAAAATAAGACGTCCGGTCTTTAATAAAACTCAACATACTATGATATTGTCGACAATGTATCAACAAGAAGTTAATACATTTTGTTATTTACAATGATATCAACTTATTATTGATAACATATTTATAGTCCCATTTAATAATAATGGAACGTATGTTCTATAGCCAGACTAAACAAAAAGTACATGACAAAAATGCAAGTATTATATCATTCATGTTTTAAACCGAATTACAAAATTTTAAATCTTCAACAATTTTCTAATCCTAATAATGCAATAGATTGAAGATAAACCATGTGCAATAATTCTTTATCATTCTCAATAGTAAGAATCCACAAGAGGATCTTTCGTGTTCGCTACGTGTTGCATCAGTATTGAGTAGAATTAGAAGAAGAGGGTTGATGTACCTTCTGAAAGCACTAGCAGAGGGACGGAGAAGGCAAAGTCAGTGCAAGCCATTGGCTACTAGTACAAAATATGTTCCTTCTCTTTCCTTCACTGATTGATGCAAATAAAGAAAAAAAAAATGCTTCAGAGAGAGAGAGACTTTGATAGTGGCATATCACTGGATTTCCATACAAAAACATTCAAAATATTTCGATTAACTTGCAGTGAGATCAAATATGATTAATTATTATGTTTTTTTTTAATGGACATATTGATTAGCAATGAGCATATATATGCTAGACTAACTAGATGAGAAGAAGAAGTGGGATCATATTTTAGTTGCTTTGGTTAGTCCATGTCCCACAGTACAAACTTAGCAGCCTAACTAGATAAGCATCTGCGGGCACCCACAAACTCAACATTTGTAACCTTTGTAAAACATGTATCACGTTTTCTCTTTCTGTTTCCGTGTACATGTCATGTATGCATGTTTCTTTGTTAGTTTGGTAAATTTATTTGCAAAAATTATGCAAGAATACGCATGCGGTCCAGTATCCTAGTGAATAGGGTGTTGAATTTCCACCCATGCGCTTTGGGTTCGAAACTCTTCTTCCCGTAAATTATTGTAATAGTTTCGAACCATTCTCTTTAATAATAATTTTTTTTTTTATTGTAAGGATACCATAACTTCACCAGTTTCGTTCCATTCAACTCGAATCAAATTGTAGAAAAAAAAATAGATAACCAAACCAGAAATTCGGTTTGATCCGTCAGTTTGCTTGCCTATGTTACGAGAAAATATTTAAACACGTCTATTTGTTTCAAGGGTCCTGGGTAGGTAACTGCTCAAGACATTATCCTACCACCTTCTGTGGAAATTGTTGATAGTACATAGTATATATCTAACCTAATAGAACCAATTAATTTGTGTATTGAATTACAAATTGAGAGGAATCGAGGATATCATATAAAACGCCAAATAACTTTCATGACGGAAGTTATCCTAGAGATGTATTCATATGTTGTATTCCTGCCTGTTCAAAATACAAAACATAGTATTAATCTGAATATTCTCACAAAGAATGAGATCATGTGTTTTAAACGTTGTACCTACGTGAAAATGATCGATGCTCACATATATAATGAAGCCCGTTGCTATGTGGACATGCATGTAGAAAAATCTAACTGATTAGACTGCACTACCCAAATCTTTGTCCTCTAGAACTACATAACACGCACCAGAAACTATATTATTTATGTTTTGCTTTGTGAAAGTACAGAACAAGGAGCATCTCACTTCACTATGGCAATGCTATCATGTGTGTCATGCCAGCTGTAAAGAGTCGGAGAGATTCAATAAGTCAATAATAATACTAAGAACATAAATCACGATACCCTAATAGCAGTCTAGAAGATGAAGAAAGAGAGGGAACTAGGGTCCTTGGTGAACTGAATGAGGAGGGGCACTTTCTGTGTGATTTGATCATCGAGTCCCCATCCCCTCTCTCTCTCTCTCTCTCTCTCTCTCTCTCTCTCTCTCCATGTAACGCCACATATCTCAGTCACGTTGTCCTCAACCGCAGAGATTTAGATGCCCTGAGCTATTTCATCTCTCTATGATTGTTAGTCCCTTTCAGTCTTCTGTTAGCCAAAGAAGCTCACATCATCCTTCAACCCCACTCAATTGAGTGCAATAATGGCCATCCATAACTATCTCACTTAACCTTAATCAAGGATTAGCATAATCTAATTGTCAACCTAATCCAGAACATTCTGCATGCATGTTTCCATCAATTAAAGCATACTTATATTTATGTAATCTCCAGCTGAAGCTCTACTGGGTAACTCAAGTGAGTGCAATCATGTACCTCACTTAACTTTAATCTGTGATTAATTAGCATAATCTTATTGTCAATCTAATTCAAAACATTCTTTGTATGAATGTTTCCATCAATTAAAGCATATATATTCACGTCATCTCCAACTTAAGTTCTGTTTTGGTTTCCAAACTCAGGTTCATTCCTAGGTTTCAATAATTAGCGCCGATAAATAAAAGATAAAAATAAAATAATTATCAAACTGCCTCTTAACTATTAAATAATAAAACTAATCAACTAGGCCCCTTAAGATGTCCAAAATAAGATAATTTTAACGAAAAACTTTCGATACTATTCACTTTAATGAAAAAATCATATTTTGACATTAAAAAATAAATCCTAGTACTATTTACTTTACCCTTTATTTTGTTTATATTGTTAAAACTCAAAATTTTCAAACTTCTTTCATTAGTTTTCTTACAAATAATGTCACACATCTGATTACAGCTTATAAGTGGACCAATAGAAATGTACTAGTTGTGTCTCGGTGGTTGTCCCGAGTCCACTTTATTCATGATGCCGATGGATGATATGAAGATGATCAATCATTTTCCATTCTTTCAAGTACAAAAGCAAGCAATGGGTATCTTTCTCTGACTTTCATAGCACCAACAATGATCATAT